ATATTATTATTGTTGCTACAATTTACAAATCATAATGGTATGATGACAATATGTTCGGTATAATTATCGTGGTAATATTTATTTATAATATACTTTTAAAACAGATAATTATTACATGACATAGTGCGACATCTTGTTTTATAACGGTGAAGTAACTAGAAATGGCAATATAAATGTTTGGCGCCTGGAATAAACATAATGCAGCAACACAAGGTTTCTTATCACTATTCGTCTGAAAAACAGTCACCTAGCTTTGGTCACCCAACTTCACACACGTCAATAAGTGTAGTAGAAAAATTGTAAAAAAATTGTATGGGGACCAAACTGCATTTGTTCCGTTGATTATTAATTATTATTTATTATATTTTATTATTACGTGCATGTGTGACGTGTGTTCTGTTAAGATACATCTTGGCACTTGACAGCTACAGCATATTTATATGAGTATAGTTAATATCCATAGACCTTATAAGGAATATAAGGTCTATGTTAATATCAGATATTATTTAAATATTCTACATTATATAAATTACTGTTTGGTATACTATATTATACTTCACTCTATTTAATGACTCACACCACATTTTATAATCTTTGTGTTTTATACCAATGTACGGTAAGAGTTGTAGAGTCAACTACCAGGTAGGAGCTTAAAATTTATTTTATTTTTTTATATTTTGTGAAGTTTTATAAAAATCATAAAATTATATTATTAAAAAAATATGCAAATAATTAATATTATTTATACAGTATAAATTAGACCAAATATATGAAATAACTATATTTTAATATTAATTTAATTAATATAGTGGTCTAATACACATTAGTTAAGAAACTAATTACCATACAAAAACAAAATTATATCCCTTAAAAAAAGATCTTATTTAAATTATATTTTGACTAGGTACTTACTATTATTTTGTTACATAAATTATTAAAAAACAGAAAAAAATTTTAAACAAGCAAATACTATTTTAAGCTAAAAACAAAAGAGTTGTGGGTTAATCTGTTTTAGCGCTATGTGCATCATTTGATAATCATAAAAAGCAATAATTAGGTATAATTTATAATAAAAGATGACCTGAAGAATGTTGAACTAAATATTGAAGACTGTTGAGGGTCAATCTTTTGACAATGCTGCTAATATGAGTGCTGAGTATGAAGGCTTACAAAGTTTTGTGAAAAATAAAAATAAATTAGCAGTTTATATTCCATGTATTTCCCACTCAAAAATTTTTGTTGGTGTGCATAGTATAGATTGTTGTATTGAAGTTGTGATTTTTTTTTTAATTTTTATAAACATTAAATAAGTTGTTTTAGTAGTTCTACATATTGTTAAAAAAATTTAACAGAAAAATTAAAAAAAAATATTAATAATCAACTAAGTAAACTAAAGTCCTTAAGTAATTCAAAATAGACTTGTTACTTTGATGCTTGTTATGCTTTGATAAAATATTATGTTACAATTATTAATATGTTAAAATTAATTTGCAATAGAAACATTGAAAATGTTAATACTAAACGAGATGCAAATATTTTATCAAAATCTATATTATAAAATAAACTGAATATAATGGCTCATTTGTGGAATTATATATTAATACAGCGCAATAAAATTTCTGTTGAAATTCAAACCATAACAATTAATCTATTAAAATCATATAACCTATTTATATCTGTGAAAAATTATGTCTCCAGTCTAAGAGATTCATAAAACACTTACAAAAATCAAACTGCAAAACTAAGTTTAAAATTGAAAAAAAAAATGGAAGTATTTTTTAAAACATTGATAATTATTAAAAAGCTCATTCATTATATCCAATAAAAACTTAATTTAAAAGTGTACTATAGCTAAAAAATAAAAAAAATATTAGTTATCAACTAAGTGTACTAAAATAATAAGGTAATACAAGATGGTCTAGTCACTTATATTAGAACGGTGCAATAAAACTGTTGATATTTTGAGTAGAAACACATATAATGATTCTAGAATAATTTGTAACTGAATAAGTTAAATTGACAAACACATATAACTATGTATCTCAGTACTTTTTATTTATCACCAGCCAGATAATGATATTCACTTATGGTCAAAAAATTTAATCTTTATAAACATGACATAAATAAAAAATGAGTTGTTTAATTTAGAGATTATAATTTGATTAAATATAAAAATAACTTATTGAAATTTTAAATATAATATTTTGTGTCATATTTAAAATTGTTGTTTTTTTACTTTTAATATACCTAAACACTTAAAAATATTTTAGGTTATTTATTATGTTAAATTTTTGGTGCCGTAATGGGCTCATTTCAATAATTTGCCACAGGGCCCATTATTCACTAAATTCGGGCCTGCCATATTCCTAAATAATATAAATATAAATGCTTCAATTATTTTCCAATTATTATGCTCAGCATTGGTTAATTTTAAAAAGCTTTTAATAAAAGAAGTAGACAACTTAAATATTTCTAATAAGTAATTTCTTTTGTAATGTAATAATTTAAAGTAGGTACCCATACATGAGAAAAAAACTTTGACAACATAGTTCAGTGTGATAAAAACTACAATAGTACATAAAGTAAAAAGTAATATGTATATAAGTTGTATCATTTAAATTATAATATAATATTTTAGTAAAGAAATTGTTTAATAATCACTAGATTGTACACTAAAAAATGAAAATCAATTAAACAGTCAATATTTGTAACCCAGTTAATATTTTTTTCAATTTCCTCAAATACAATATTTTTAGTGAGTGGTAGTTCAATCGATCAAAATACAATTTTCAGATTTAGTTAAATATATTTTACCTTGATCAAAATATTCATGGTTTGTATTTAATTTATAATTTTTAAGAAATGGACTTTGATGCAAAATACAGTATTTAATTAGTGGCATAGGCCAAAGCTTTCCAAGTACATAATTTGATTTATACATCAGAGAATTAAAAATGAAATTTTTTTTTACTACTATTGATACTAGGGTCTGATGTCCGAGATCCTACAACTCAAACAACTCACATACCTCAATTATGAATTATATGAGAGAATCTTTTTAGGTATCAAATAGCTGACATGGCTGTGCATATCGAACATTACAACTATTAAATGTTAAAACAAAATTAATATTCAAGATCACCCACTGGTGAAAATTCAGGAAGAACAGCCTTAATGTGAATTTTAAAAAATATTTAAAGATAATTTTATATAAAATTAAATAGTACATATAAGTAGTACCTACTTACCAAATGACCTACAATTGTCAACCTAACAATTTAGGTGTCTATATATCAGGCACTGCTCACTCATTACATATTGTTGATGGGCATAGAGTAGATTGTTACATTAAAGCAATGAGTTTTTTTTTTATTTAATCAAAAGTTATAAATTGCTTAGTGGTTCTAAATATCATTAGAAAATTTTAACTGAAAAATTAGAAAAAATAGTAAAAATCAACTAAGTATACTAAAGTTATTAAGTAATACAAGATGGTCTAGTCACTTTGATGCTTCCTAAATATTTGTTTTAATTGTTATTCAATTTAGAAATCCTTGAGTCATTAATAAAAGAAGTAGACAACTTAAATATTTCTAATGATTAATTTCTTTTGTAATGTAATAATTTAAAGTAGGTACCCATACACGAGAAAAAAACTTTGAAAACATAGTTCAGTGTGATTAAAACTACAATAGTATATTAAGTAAAAAGTAATATATAATATATAATTGTATCATTCAAATTCTAATATAATATTTTAATAATGAAGTAGTTTGATAACCATTGTATTAAAACGTCATAATGTTGTGCTTGAGTCTTATGTCATATTCTAAAAACTTCTTATTAAATTAAAAATACGTTGTAGGTACCAATATGTAAATTTTAAAAAAAATTAATATATCAAGATAATAAACAAATTATTTGTTAAACATTGATTGCATAAGTATATAACAATATAACTGCATTTTTTAATGAAAAATATTTTCACATTTTCTAACAATGTTTGAATAAGTATATTTTCTTAATTTGATGGTAATAAAAAATATTTGCACATGTAAATATTTTTATTGAATTTATAATTATTTTTAGTTCAAATGTTCAAAAATGTTCTATAGTGAACACATAAGTATTTATATTTAAATGAAAATTTAGGGCTATATATTATTATATTTATTTTTAATAAACATATAATGTTATAAATTAGCTCCTTACACTTACAATGAATAGTTAGTGTAAAAATAGTTTCTCTTTGCTTAAAAATAATATTAAAAAAAAATATTTTATTGCGAGTATTTTTTTTAAAAATTGAGAATTATTAAAAAGTTTTATATGATATCCAATTATAATTTAAACTATAAAAACTACTAAGTGATTTAAAAAATTAAAAGTTTACTATAAATGAAAATTGAGTTATTCTAGTAATCTCTAAACATTAAAAAAAAAAATGCCATGTACAAAAAGTAGCTCCACTCAAAAGCACCTAGAACTAAATGAGATTGACATTGTCTCATTTTTATCATCAATATAAACAGAACCTACTTGTTAAGTTTTAATATCGCTAGAGAAAATTAATAAATGTTCTGAGTGTATACCCACTAAAAAAATAAATAAAATATTGATTTTGTTTATACAAGATACGTTTTATTCTTAAATTAAAAAAAAAAAATTATACAAAGCATAATATATACAATCTTAACATGCTGATTTGCTAAAGATACTTAAAAAATAAAACTAATTAATCTTAAAATAATCTTTTGATTTGTTCCCACAGGCCAAGTGGCTTTATAGAACCTGTTGTATTATTATGTACACGATTAGCAAGAATTAAGGCGAAAGGATTACTGCCTGCCAAAACTATAACATCAGTTTTGGACGACGATTTAACATTTGATACTGAGCGCCTGCGTCTTATTTGCATATTGTCAATTACAATAGGCTGACGTAATCCATTTCTATCCTTGGAACTATAGGACATGATTGTACCACGTCCGCCATTTCCGCCACTGTTGTAAGGTAAGGCATTTCGTTGTACTCTTTTTTATAAACCGAAAAAAAAATAACAATTGATTAGATAAATGATAAAAACTTCGGTGCATTCAATGAATTTTTTTAGTATCGATTATAGTTATACCAATTATACATCTACCGCGAACGACGTTAGTTCACAACCCATATTATTTAAGAATTACATATTTTTTTTCAACTACTTGTTTAAACGTCAACTTTTGAATCGTGATATTAAAAATATCTACATTTATTATCAAATGAATAATACCTAATCATGTGCATAATTTCATTTGTTTTATTTATTTTACTATTTAAAATCATTATCTGACTACAGTCATGGGCATTGTTTTGTATTATGAAAGAGGTCCTACTTTATAAGTCGTCTTTTTACTTGCTATCCTGTCAACAATACAGGGTATACTATTTTATTCTACATATCCAATTCTCTTTTACTCACACAACTATACAAGCTATTTTCATGTCATTAAGTATTCTATCAAATTTCATTTTCTTCAGTTTTTTTCTCCTTCTCAACACATCATATAATCCAAAAAAAAGTATTTAATTTAATTGGTTAATGAAATCGCTTTTTATTTGATTAACTGGTCGTAATCATTATCATATGATATGTAATAGTAGGAACCTATGTAAATGAATAGATTTTAAAATTATTTCTGTCAGTTTCTATATATATGTATATTTGGTGATATCTGTGATGGATTATTTCAACAATATTTGTAATTTTAAATAATAGTTTAAGTAAAAACATTAAAAAATAATAGTAAAAAGATTTTGATGCTTAATAATACAAGGAGAATGTCTAAAAATATTTTTAATGGGAATAACTTTTTTTTCGCTTATAAAATAAAATTTTATTGGAACAATAAATTCTATAAAAATTTATACTTGCGATTATAATTTTTTGTTATTACATTTTAAAGTAAAATAAATATTTTCTTTTTAAATCTTTGTACAAATATGACATTGTATTTACATGTATATAGACACTTTAATTTCAGGCTTCTAAAATTAATTATTCAATACCTATCACGATTACTGCTTACAGGAAAGTTTCCATGCAACACACCCTAGTAAAGAAAAATAATGGAAAAGAATAATAAAAATAATATTATTATTAAATCATCATTTCTAAAATTCTATAATATTTTTTAAATTACATCAACAATATGAAACAATTAACATAAATGTTCGAATAATATATCCAATTATATATGATATATTAAATTTGAATATTACTCAGGGGTAAATTTAATAAGCTCTCTCCCATCAAATAACATTATTGTTAGACAAGCAACTGTCATATATGTTCAATAAATTTTACAATACTATATTTATAATTAAATTATATAAGTGATGAAGCGTTTTCGCAACAAGACTAACCTCTTACTGCTTATTTGAATCGCCGAACTCTGGGTGGAAGATTTTACAAATGGAACCAAAAATATTGGTCGTTTTACAAATTTTGAAAAGAAGTTGTCCCATGTCTCGTTCTGTTTGGCAACTGTTGTTAATGACTCAGTAGTTGTCATTTCAGCCTTCGTCGATGTTTCCAACAAGTCAGATTCGTTCAAATTAAACAAAAGTAATATGGATCCATTATTAAAATAATTTATTGTCAACTGTGGATGGGAAATCATATCTAATAAGCCATCACATGTAGCGTTCCTGCTAATAGCCATCCGGAAAGTGTTGGTAGTTTCATTGAGTGTCTCGTATAACTGCGATGAATAAAAATAAGTTAATACAAGACAAAGTTTAATTGGATATAAGAAATTTAAAAATTGGATAATCAATCTGATTTTTAAATCAATTATTAATTAAATATACTTACTGCACATTTGTAATCTTGTTCTCCCGGGTTTTTAACAGATGTATCATACAATTTCATGTACATACGTCCTTGGATAATGTCTTTTGTCAGCAAAAGTGATTTCGTCACACAGAAAAAATTAAAATATTCCAAACCTAAATAATGTGTTGTTGACAACAAAACAATATAAAAGAACTCAATTAATGTGGTTTGTTATGAAAGTTTTGTGTTAGTAGACTAAATTATATTCTTATCCGTACACTTTTTCATCATTTATCACAGATAATTTATAATTTCTGAATGAAATAAAATACTTAAACTATTGAATGTCTTTGACGTTTGGTTAAAAAAAGTTGTGGGTTAAAAACAAATGAAATAAACGAAGCATTATCATTAATATTAGAATTTTAGTTTAAATCCTGATAATGTTGTTTAAATATTTTTTTTATATCTTGAAAAATAATTAGAAACCAAAATTTATAAATAGTAAAAAAGTACATATTTTGAATTATATATTTTTTTAATTTTACATATATTATAAAGTATAAGTTTCTTTATATTGACATAATTTTTTATGTGAATCGTTTATTTAGTGGCAGTGCCTTACCTAAAACTTTATAGTAAATAATACTCAATGAGAATACTTCTTATCTCACCAATAGTACATATTTCGCTAATAAGTTTTAACGTATTTATAATTTTATTTAAATAAAATATTTTTATGAAGTTTAATAATATGAATTATGATTAATTATATTGTATATTAATGTTATTGTCATGTATTTATATAATCATGTGTTTATTATCAAAAATAATGTTTATCCTTTAAGATATGCACGAAATAATTATTACATAAACAAACGCCAAAATTTCAGCGGGAGGCAATGTTAAACATCACCTCAAAGTAATTACTTGTATACATAAATTTACACACATGAGCAAATGTATGCAAACCCACAATTTTCATTTTTTTAAACTATAGGTATTACCATGAAGTTAAATTTGTATTATTAAGGGAGGGGAGAGTGATATATTAGTGGCATCAAAAAAAAATATATAACTCAAACCGCCATTGCGTCAACTTATTATCCTCTGCACTCAATGTGCATTAAGTGTATAAATAATAAGAATATTTTATTGATATGTATTAATTTAATTTTAAATAGAACGAGCCCATTCATACATTCTTATCTGTGTTAATTATATTTATAATTAATTCTGTTTAAATAATTAAAATTAATAAAAAACGACAATAACAAATGTGACATTATAATTTTTAGCTGTTTAATGTATGTAATATGTTACGAAAAATTTAGGGTATGTTAGGAAATTTGATATCGCCTAAATAATATATAAATTGTTTATCAAATAATTCATATAACTACGTATTTTTCTGCTATTTAACGGAAAAAGCTTTTCTAATTTCGATCATAACGCAGAATACTGCATTTTAGCGAATTTAAAATTTTTATACGTACCCTCCTGATCACGGCAACGTTGATTGTTTTTTTGGAAACCACCTAATCGCAAGTTGAATGATTGCTTAATAATGTCACCAGAATCATAATTGATGTAGGCACAACCACCGTTTAATGTTGTAACTGAATCTGTTGCCATAACTTGATATTCCGCAGCTTTAAGTGACGGGCAGCTGTCCAAAATACGGAGAGAGACTAAAATACATGATACATACAGGTAATTAGTTTGTTAATTTATTGAGAAACTCAGTAAGGATGTTAAAATATTTAATTCAACCAACGAATCATCGGTAGGATACAAATATTATAATAATGTTATAATATACCTATTTATTATACTTAGTGGGAGCATAATAGTAATAATAATTAAACTATTAACAGGTAATAAGTTGGTTAATTTATTGAAAAACTCAGTATAGGATTATATCTGTCCGATAAAAACTAATCAAAAATAAAAAAAACAATTCTGTAAAAACAGGACTGATGTGAGTGTCATTTTATTTTAGTATTAAAATATTTAATGTTAATCGCCATTCAAAATCTTCAATCTAGAATTCTTACATTCTAGACAAGAAACATTTACATTAGGTACCTTTATATTAAGTATGGCAACTAACAATTAATGAATTATCATTTATAGTGAATCTGAGAAAATAATCTACTTTATTTGTTTTTACATGACTTATAATACAAAAAACATAAAGACATTCTTATAACAAATTCCCACCCCTCATTCATATGTGGACACAACATAAATAAGTAGGTACTACAATAATACAGTAATATGAATAATACAGCAATGAATATATAATATTATGAAAAGATGACAATTACATATAAAAAAAAAATTTTATTTAAAATATTTATAAATGTTTTAAAGGCATTTAAAAACACCTCGACACCGTGATGAAAACCTTTTATAAACATTTCATTTCTAAAATCGTTTTGAAAAAATATTAAAAATAATATTTTTCTGTATGAATATATCGTTTATACAAATAAATTCGTTTTACTATCAAAAAAAATATTAATGTTTAAAATTTAACTTTAATTTGTTTTTCAAAAAGTGATGAAACACAAAAAAACAATAAATATAATTCGCAATATCAATATATTTATCAGAATACTTCATTAATAGATTTTATAATTGTGACATCTTCTCGTAAATAATAACAAGAATAATAATACAATTCCATTCTAACAAAAAATTAGAAAATTAATATATGTACTTACATCTAAGCATATCCTCATTTGCTCGAAAGTTGGCTCCGGCACCGATACTTGTAATAATAATAATTGTCAATACTACTACGGACATCATGGTATAGCTTTTTGGTAAATTTAAGTTGGATATAAGAAATAAAAGTAAGTTGTCAAACTAACAGTGAGAGCGAAATGCAAGTATTTATATGGACGAGAGAAACGTGTACAGAAGACTGAAGCGCTGGTAAACTGGAACAGAGAATGCACACTAATACGATATGCTCTCTGTGAGTTAATTTATAGGCTGCCTGATCATTGATTGGTGCATGGTAGTGGTAGTAATGGTTCCCACCACCACGTTTGTGATTTAATGGAAGGCGACATGATGGCACCGGTCGTGTATTGATCATCTATAATGACATTTGGTTCCATTGAAACTGACAAAAATAAAATGTTGTCAATACAACCAGATAGTTTTGGGTCCTTTATATATACGGTCATCTTTTATACTTCGTCTTTATATGAGCAATAAGTTTTAAACATTGTGTTTTATATATTGTAGGTGCACAATCCATCTGAATAGAATTTTCACAAACTACCCTTTGTGGTACAAACTGTCAAAATTATGTTTTATTTATAATAAAACCTATTCTATATTGTATAGAATATATGACATTAATCTTTTAAAAGAAGCTAAAGAACATCTGCCGTTAAACTCGCACATAATTGACGATAATCAAAAAAGAAACCGTGTTCGATTTTATGTGTTAGGCATCATTCTATTATCGAAATGACACAGGAGGAAACGATTTTGTATACACTTGGGAATGTAGGTTTTCAATTATTACAGTAGATTGTAAAAAGGAAAAATGTATTATGTTAACAGCAGTTCCTTTATTCGATTTTCAGATTTGGTGGTTGAATGGACAATAGACCGACCGGTATTAAGTTAACATTCCTTAGTGGGTAACGATATTGAAAAAAATCCATTATTGTAACATTATAATGCACCTGCAACGGCTATGCTGTCATTTTTTCGTATAACTACCAATATATCATTTAAAATACGTTTAAACAATGATCTCTCTTCATATCTTTTTTTTAAATACGTAATTAACACTTATAATAACAATTTCCGTAAAAACGTAAATAGATATATTTTAAATCACAATACTGTAGATAAAATTATATAATGAAACTGATCACTTGGATTGGTTAACACAATCTTCAATTTAAACTAAATAATTTATATGAAATTTGGTATACGTTCTCAAAATGAATGATTCATAGATGGATTTAGTTAACTACAAATAGAGTACATAATAATTCACCCTTTTAAAAGTGGAAATCTTAACCCGAGTAAAACTGAGTAAATTCGGAATATTGCAACATTATTCATTACTTAATATTCAATTATTAATGTTCTAAAGCAACGGTTCTTAACCTTTTGTAGAACACGAACCCCGATGAAATATTTTTAGAAATCGCGGACCCCCATACCAATTTTTTATCGAATACCTTTTTTTACAAACATATCAATTTATCATAACCAAAATTATAATAACAATTTTATATTGACCCGCCGTGACAGATAATAAAAGATTATAATTTTAAATGAAACAAAAATAATAATCCAAAAATATTGTTATAATGCACTCATGTCACGTATTAACTTAAGTTAGGTGGTAACTGGTACGGCTGCCGCGGACCCCGACTTAAGTATTACGGACCCCCAGGGGGCCACGGACCACAAGTTAAGAAACGCTGTTCTAAAATTTATCGATAATTAAAATTTACAGACAATGTAATATTGTTATTTTAAATTAATACTGTTTATATTTAAACTGTGAAAGCTTGTATCACCGACGTGCTATCAAGGTATGAAAAGAGAGGACTGTAATTTTAACAACAAAAAAAAAAAAATAGAAAAATAAATTTATATTATTTGTATGCAAACGGTAATATCGCTTTTTGTGATAAACTTTATTTTTATATCAGACTTAATGTACTCAATTGTTGGTATTATATTACATTAAGCTTC